GCATGGGCTCAATGCCCCACCTTCACCCACATGCTGGGAAGAGCCAGGGCTGTGCCAGGCAACTGGTGGCAGTAGCACTAGGAGTGGAGCAGTGGTGAAATTTGGGGTGGATGCAGCATTCTCCCAGTGCTGCCGCTCCTGCTCTGAACCCAGCCCCTGCCAAGAAGAGCCCCGCACAGCCCTGGCTGCAGCCCGCACCACACAGATCCAGGGGGTACACGCCCCACTGTGCCCTTCTGGGGTGCAAGCAGCGGTGGGGGCCACTTCCCCGCCATGAGCCACAGCTCCAACCCCCTCCACCGCCCCACCTGGGCAGTGCCTGCCCCTGCCCCTGTCCCCTTTCTCACTGTGGGGGGCATTGATCTGCCCCCCATGCCCCTTCCACCACACCAGACTTACCAGCTGGAGGCAGCTGTATTGGAAATCAGATCGGTATCGGCCAAAATGCCTCCTTAAATGTCGGCTATTGGTATTGGCCCCAAAAATCTCTATCAGTGCACCCCTACTTGTAGGCATATGAAATTAGGAGGGTGTTCTGAACCCTTGATACCAAGTGAATGGAAATGATTCCCTCTGACTCTGGTAAGGGATAGAGTCAGCCCTGATTCTGGAGAGTTCAGACACACCCCCAGGGTTAGTATTTTCTAGTAGCCAGCTCTAAGTAGCTTCCCACTCAGCATGCAGGTTTTTTGGGTTATCTTCCTGAAGTTCTTCTTCCCAGACACCAGAAAATATAGGTGCAACACCCTGGGTTTTGGATTCCACTATGATATCTTAGATGTTACAGCACCTAACCCAGGGGTGGGTAAAATATGGCCTGCGGGCTGAATCCAGCCTGTGAGGCCATTCTATCTGGCCTGCAGGGCCCCTAAAAGATTTAGAAAATGATTATTCATCTGCCCTTGGTTCCTGTAAAAAATAACAGGAACCGAGGGCAGTAGGACCCAGGGGAAGCCCGGCGGGCTCCCACAACAGCAGGGCCCACCCGGCCTGGGACCATGTGGCTGCCCCACGCTGGAACCACAGGTAAGGGGGAAGCAGTGGGGGAGGTCAGGGAAGGAGCCCGGGGAAAAGCTGAGCGCAGGGGGGATAAAAGCGGCCCCTCACCCACCCCGTGGCTGGCACCCCACACTGCAACCACTCACAGCCTACGTGGGGCTCCTTTTACCCGCACTCAGCTTTTCCCCAGGCTCCTTCCTGGAGTGGAGGAAAGTGGCCCCTCACCCACCCTGTGGCTG